ACAACAACAACAAAACAAAACAAACAAAAAAAAAAAAAACAAAAAAAAAAAGCTGCGCAACCTAGATATCGGCGACATTGCCGACTGCTTCCGCGGCGAAGACTGGCAAGAAAATCTCGGAGGCGGCAAATCCCGCCAACTACGCGAACCCATTCTGGGGAACAAAATTTGGTCAACCACATCCCCATATTCATTCAATGCACGGAATTGTCGTTGGGCGTTCTCCAGTATGACGCGGTTGGAGCTAATAAGGGATTGGAGTCGCCTCCAATATAATCATTCTTATGCCCTGCTAAGCCCCAGCTAATCGCTGCTACGCCTTGCCCCGCTGAGCCTTGCTGGCCATTGCGACGCCGTGCTGCGCCCTGCTTGCCCCTGCTAAGCTCTGCCAGGTCTCGCCAAGCCCTGCCCGGCACTGCCATGCGCGGCTGCGCCCTGCCGGCCCTCCGCCAAGCCCTGACGAGTGCTACCAGCCACCTGCCGAGCCCAGCGAAGCCTTGGTGGGGCCGACCAAGCCCTCCTAGGCCCTGCTAGCCCCTGACATGCCACGCTGAGACTTGCCAATAGTTGCCAACACCTGCTAGCCTTGTTCAGTTCCGCCAGCGCCTTGGTAAACTGCTGCGCCATGCAGAGCCGCATCTACGATCGTCTTATCAGGGGTGGACCCACTGTAAATTGAATCCTATTAGAGGTGGACCCACCTCTAGCATAATCCGACCAAGGAGGATGCATCATGCAACGCAATCCGATCCAGGAAGGAAGGAATCAGTTCTAATAGAACCCCATGATAGGTGGACCCACCTCTTCAAGGATCCTGCGATGGACGGGTGACTTGCATGCAATGTGGCTTGGTTCACCTCAGGAGAACCCCATTAGAGATGGGGTCACATCCAATAGAACTCCATGAAGGATGGAAGCACCTGGGGTCTAATCTTAGTAAATGTGGAGCCGCTGCTTTTTGAATCCCATTGAAAGCGGCTGATCGCGGGCTCGATTTGGAAGCGGATGCGATACCTCCTAAAAACCTGATTAAATGCCAAGCCGCCTGAAAAACAATCCCTGCCAGGGGTAGAAGCATTTCCACGCAATAAAGCTCAATGGGTAAATCTCCATACTGGGAAATCGCACAAAGGGGTTCTGCGCGGAAGTTACACAAAAGAAATCAACGCGCAAATCCCCCACAGAAGGAGCCCTAAAGTCGCGCGAAAGGAATGCCATGCGCAATCGACGCAGGAGAAATCAAAATGCAAATCGCCCCCCCCCCCAAAAAAAAAAAAAAAACGCGCAAATCCACGCGCGCACACACAGAAGGCACTATTTGTATTCCACGGAACAGGCATCGGTTTGCAAATCGCCCACAAGAGGGATCCCATTGAAAAGCCGCACACGAGGATCACGCGCAATCTGCGCAGTAGAAATCAATGCGTAGATCGCCCGCGCAAGGATTTCCCTTGAAAGTGGGGCCCGACAAAGTTTTGGACCCTCCAGACAGAACAGCAACGCCAAAAAATTAGCCTGGCGAAGGACCCAACCATATGCAGCTGCGAGTACCGCACGGATATGAGACGAAGGAGGGGGCACGCAAACTAGGCCCCTCTTCTCATAGGCACCGCGCCACTGCATGGACGAGGCACAGGGCAGCGCGGGCAGGAGGTGGCGGGCGGAGGAGGAGAGCTCACTGGGGCGAGCCAACATCACTATCATCATCGCATCATGAGACCTGTTACTGGGCACGCAGGAAGAGGTGACGGAGACACCGTGTAGATGTCGAAGGCAGGTCAGCAGCGGCAGAAACGAGACGGGGAAGCGCGCGGCCAAGAAGCGGTGGGAAGCAGGAGGAGCGAGAGACGAGGGGAGACGTTTTTGCCTCCAGACCGACAGCGAGCCACGCAGAATGCAGCGCGCAGGCGGCGCCGCGCGAAAGTGCCTGGGAAGTCCTCGCCGACGCGGTCTGGTCATCCCGAGGGAATCCCATCGACGCGCGGGGGTTGTCCACTGCGACTCTGACTCAACGGATAGCACCCCCGTACTGCGTGGCGAGGCGGGCGAAAATGGCGCGATCTGGGTGAAATCCCCCGACAGGCGCCGGTCATCCTCTGGCGAGAAATCCCGACGACGAGCTGGGGTCATCCAAGCGTCAGCGACAACCAGCGCGCGCCGCTGGCTCGCGCGGGGCCGCTCCCCAGGTCAGGCCTCGCGGATGAACTCGCTGAAGCCCAGCTCTCTGGCGAGGGCCGTCGCCTCCCTCCTGCACCGCTTCGCGCGCGCTGCAAACTGCCCCAGCTGCTTCCGCAAGCCCTCCGGCGGCCCTGCCAGGAAGAACTCGATGAGCGGCGCCCGCATGAGCAGGAGATCCTCGTGGCGCGTGGCGCGCGAGAGCAGCACGTAGAGTTCCAGCCACCAGTCGTCGTCCTCCTTCTTGCCGTTCCCGACCTCGCGGCGGCCGCAGTCCAGGATCACGCCTGGGCCGCAGCCATTTGGGCCTTCGGTGGAGCTCCCTATGGGGCCACGAAACGCGCAAGGGGCGTGCCAAATATGGGGCGGGCGGCGGCATGCGGACGCAGCCATTTGGGCCTTAGATGGAGCTCCCTATGGGGCCACGAAACGTGCGAGGGTGTGCCAAAATTGGGCGGCGGCGGCATGCGGACGCAGCCATTTGGGCCATCGGTGGAGCTCCCCATGGGGCCACGAAACGCGCGTGCCAAAATTGGGCGGGCGGCGGCATGCGGACGCAGCCATTTGGGCCTTAGATGGAGCTCCCTATGGGGCCACGCAACGTGCGAGGGGTGTGCCAAAATTGGGCGGCGGCGGCATGCGGACGCAGCCATTTGGGCCTTAGATGGAGCTCCCTATGGGGCCACGAAACGTGTGAGGGGTGTGCCAAAATTGGGCGGCGGCGGCATGCGGACGCAGCCATTTGGGCCTTCGGTGGAGCTCCCATGGGGCCACGAAACGTGTGAGGGGTGTGCCAAAATGGGGTGGCGGCGGCATGCGGACGCAGCCATTTGGGCCTTAGATGGAGCTCCCTATGGGGCCACGAAACGTGTGAGGGGTGTGCCAAAATTGGGCGGCGGCGGCATGCGGACGCAGCCATTTGGGCCTTCGGTGGAGCTCCCCATGGGGCCACGAACGTGTGAGGGGTGTGCCAAAAATGGGGTGGCGGCGGCATGCGGACGCAGCCATTTGGGCCTTAGATGGAGCTCCCTATGGGGCCACGAAACGTGTGAGGGGTGTGCCAAAATTGGGTGGCGGCGGCATGCGGACGCAGCCATTTGGGCCTTTGGGCGGCTCCCTATGGGCCACGAAACGTGTGAGGGGTGTGCCCTGCGCAGCCATTTGGGCCTTCGGTGGAGCTCCCTATGGGGCCACGAAACGTGTGAGGGGTGTGCCAAAATTGGGCGGCGGCGGCATGCGGACGCAGCAATTTGGGCCTTCGGTGGAGCTCCCTATGGGGCCACGAAACGTGTGAGGGGTGTGCCGATGATGATGATGATGATGATGATGATGTGGATGATGATGATGACGATACTCATGACGATGAGCACGATGAGGATGGTGATGATGATGGGAGGAGGGGGGAGGGGGCAGCGGGAGGAGGAACGCGGGGCACCGTCTCTTCAAAACGAGGACCCAACACCACAGGATGGTTGGGAATAATCACCGCGGCCCCTCTATTTTTGTTGGGCGCGGGGCGGGCGCGAGCGAAAAATGAGCGGGTCTACGGTTTTTCGTTTTTTTGCCGTTGCTTTTCTATCTGGGGGGCCCAGAACTTCCCCCGCCCCCCTGTCGCGGGAAGTTTTCCTGCGGGCCATTTGCACAATGATTCCTATTACGTGGCTTACACGTAATATGATCCTGCGCGGCTTTTCACTGGAATTCCTTTCGCGGGCGATGTACACATTGAGTTCTAGCGCGCGGATTGCAAATAAAAACCCTCGCGCGCGGCTCTTCACTAAGATTCCTCTCGCGGGCGATTTACACATTGACGTCTAGTGCGCGGATTGCAAATAGAACCCTTCCTGCGCGACTGTTCATCAAGATCCCACTGCATGGTTTGACGACAACGAAGAAAATGACAGATAACGAACGACATGACCGAGACGAGGCGCGCAAACCGAGAGATCATACAAATCCCAGCACGCCGACATACACCACGAAACTCGCTGCCCCCCCCAATCAGGGGCAGCCCGAACTCCCCCCGCGGGGAGGCGACGCACTCGCCCCCGAGAGGGCGACGACAATGGAGAAGTCACTCGCGGGCGTTGTCGCCGGCGCCGGCTCGGCGTCGGCGCCCGCGCCGTCGGCGCGCGCGCAGTCGGCGCGCGCGCCCTTGCACCTCGCAGGCCTTGTTCCACAAGGGCTGCCGTTCATTGTCTTCTGCGCCGCGGTCGCCGCCCCCTCCCTCTTAGGACGCCGACCGCCGCCGATCTGCCTCCGACGCGGACGGCGCCGGCGGGCCCGAGCGACGAGGAGGCGGCCTGCGCCGAAGAAGTCTCACCCACGGGCGCAGGAGATGAAGATCGCGCTCAAGGCCTGGGCGCCGCCCGCGCAGGAGTCGAGGTCGGCGTTGGCGCCGACCCCCGGCGGCACCCGCGGGAGCGGGTCTTCTCACAGTCGGCCTCTTGGCCCTGGGAATCGCACTGGCGGGCGTCGGCGCCGGGCTCGGGGGCGGCGTCGCTCTCCGCAGCGAAGCGGGCCATCTCCCCGGCGAACTCGGCAGTGGCCGCTGCGGGCCGTGGCCCAGCGCGTCGAGGCAAGCCGGGCCTTGGCGACGGGGGCGGGCCCTCGGCGAAATAAGCCGAAGGGCGGAGGGGGGGGGGGGGGGGCGCCGACGGGGGCAATGGGGAGCGCGGCCCCTCGGACGCAGCGGAGAGCAAGGCGTCGCACCTGCCGGCCGCCAGCCCCGCCAATCCTCTGGCCGGAGGTGGAGCGGCCAAGGCGGCGAGGCAGGGAGTCAGACCCTCATCCTCGGGCACCTCCAGCCCCTGGAGGTCGCCCGCCCCCCTCGGTCTCGTCGAAGTCGCCGACGGCGCTGGCGACGAAGCTGGCGGCGAGAAACAGGCGGTCGGCGCGGTTGGCGCCAGCGCGGTCGGCGCCGTCGCTCGCGGTTCCACAGAAGCCGATGCTCTCGCGCGGCGCCGCCCAGGTCGGGGGGGGGGCGAAGGATTCCGATGCCTCAAGCCTACGGCAATCGGCCGGCTGGCGCGCGAGGCCGAGGTACCCCGCGGCCTCGTTGCAGTTGTAGCAGTTGTAGCAAGGGCCGAAGGTCGGCAGCTCAGCACGCCGCTCGCGGCGGCAATTGCGCGCGAAGGCACCCGGAATATCTCGGGGATATCGGCGCGGGCAGTCGAGGGCGTAGGTGTTGGGGAGAATGCGAAGATACCTGCGCCCGCCGCATCTGGGGCCTTCGCCCCGCCCATAAAGCCACTGGCAGCTGCGAGGCCATCGTTGGCCCAATGGCCCAATGGCACAGCCGCGTCGACCTCGACGACGATGCACTTCGTTTTCGCGTCGCGGTCGCGGTTAGCGCCGTCGTCGAACTGGCGCCGAGCGACCGCCGCCTCCGCGGCGATCGCGCGCCGGCGCCCCGCGGCGCGGCGGGCCGCGGCGGGGCCGAGCGAGGCGGCCTCCCGCGCCCGACGGAAGCTGCACGGCCACCGGCAAGGCGGGCGGCCCCCCGCCCGCGCGCCCCGGGGCCAAGCTCGGGCGGGCGCTTGGGGCCAGGGGGGGGGCCTCCGCCGCCCCCGCCCACGCCAGGCGGCCACCACGCATCTTCGCGGTCGCCGCGGCGCCAGCCCAGAACGCGAGCCGCGGCTGCGCGCCGCGCCGGGCGCCCCCCCCCCGTAGGAGAGAAAGCGCCTTCGGCCAGAATGGCCGCGGACTCCTCCTGCTCCCAGTCGCACATCGAGGCCAGTTACTCGGGCGGGCCGGGCGTTTCGCCCGGGGGCCCCTCGCCGTTTACGACTCTGAAACATAAGAATTGGCCGCGGCCCCGCAGATGGGGGCGGGCGGCCTTCAAAATGCGGCCCTCGCCGCAGCGCGGCGCGCGCTCGATTCCCCATAGAAGAATCAAGCACTTCACGGATCGAGGGCGGGTCGTTTCAGAACGCAGGTCTCGCCTTAGCGCGGCGCGCATTCGTTTAAAAAATGCGCGCGGGTTTCGCGGATTGAGGGCGGATGGATTTCAAAATGCGCCCCTCGCCTTAGCGCGGCGCGCTTTCGCTTGAAAACGTTCGCGCGAACATCGCGGATTGAAAGCGCCCCCCCCTCAAAATGCGGTTCTCGCCATAGCGCGGCGCCCATTTGTGAAACCCTCGCGAGTTTCACGCGCCCCCACCACCGACGCACCAGAAATTACGCATGGACTCAGGACTACGCGGGCGCAACAGTTAAGTGAGTTCTTTGCGTTGAAATCCCTGGAATGGCGTTCTGGCGCGATTCAGGATCGCCAAGATGCATCTGTCGGGCTGGTCCGCGGCGTTGGAATCCCGAGGACCATTTTTCGGCAACTCCCACATCGTTGATGACTCTTGGGTTTACAATGCCCCCCCCGCGCGCGCGCGCGCCCGCCGGAAGACTCCGAGCGGCCGGCCCTCTCACGAACATAAAGCAGAGAGCAAGCGCCAAAGT